TCCATCATTTAAACTATATAAATTTTTGAAATCGAGACCATTTTCTGAGTCAATTTTAAAGAATTTGTTATAGCTAGTTCAAAAATTAAAATTATGACTGTTTTATTAAATTGATGAAATATAATATCAAAATAAAAGTACATTTTTTTCGTTTTATTGTGTTATCTTTTGAAGTATATGTTCCAAAGTATTGTTAAGATTATTAATATTCTCTTTGCTTGTCGTATAATGTGGTCATAATGTGAGTATTTCCTAGCCTAAAAACACAAGAAACCACTTAGGGCAATCCAAAAATAGTGTCGTCATTATCTTATTTCTCTATAGAAACCTTGAAAAAATTTTCTTTATTGATGTAGTGATAGAGAAAACGATGCTCTATTTTTCTGTGTTATTTGATCAGTATTCAGCCAATATCATAATAATAAAATCTCAATAAGAACTGTTTTGGTGTGAAACTTCACACTAACGGATGAGACAGATTAATATGATTTGCATTTCAATTTTCAATCACTTACTATATTATATTAAAAAACAAAATATTCCACAAGATGTAGCGTGAAAAGCTCTATAATTTACAAAAGAAAAGTTTCTTTTATATATGACATAAGAAAAACATTAATTTTTCGGGTTAGTGAAAGTTGGTCGCACAGAATTTTGGTTTTTTTTGAAAACAAGAAGTATACAATTAAAGTAAGCTTTACTTTGTAGATTGTAGAACTTTGCATGCTGCATCTTGTGATGTATTTTGTTTTTCTTAAATAAAAGATATCAGGGGACAAAAAGATGCAATGAAAAAAAAAAAGAATTTATCTTGTACCAAATAATATCGTTCCCGCATGGTCAAAAATTGGTCCCTCAAAACTTTGTTCATTTTGAAAATAAAAAGTGCAGTTATAAAAAAAGCGGTCTCCTGTAAATTGTAGAGCTTTTCACGCTGAAATGTGCTGGATTTTGGTTCATCGACGAGTCTTTCTATTGTGTGACTTTATTTGATATTAGAACATTCAAAGTTCGGCAATAATGAGAACTTATTTGAATGGATTTATTCGTTACTATGTGTTTGAAAGTAGCTGTAAGCCTTTACAAATGAATAGTTGAGTGGTGTTTTTATGTGCATCTACGACATATTATTGGATTCATTTCTAGTAGACCATTGATTCCAATTTCGAACTTTCTGACGATTTAGCTATTGACTGCCGATCCTTTACGATGACAAGGCTTTAGTAACAGTAAAATACATTTATCTGGAGAGATCCGCCTATACTACAGCCATTGTATGCATGCTGAAATATTTTTAGATAATGAAATATATCAAACCAGCAGATAGCATTTGGTCAGCTTGATATCACATAAATAAAGTGCAATGCTATGTTGGTGAACTCTTCGCAGTGAACATTAAAAAGGTTCGATTCAAATTCGATATTTGACTGTAACGAATGTTTATGAAATTTTCTGATAGAACTAGATGCATTTAAGTCATCATCTGATCCATGGACACATGTGATTAATCTCATGTATTGAATGTACTGACAGTTAAGTATTATTGTTTCTGCACATATCATGTGTCTTGTGATCGAAACATTATTTTGACTCGTAAAGTTTGTAAAAGTTAATCATTTTAATTATTCGATCAAAACCGACAAGAATTCTTAACTCAATTCTTTGTAAGACACACAGCATGAGAAAGAAAAAGTTCAAGTCACGAAGGAAATCTTGTTTTGATAGACAAACAAGTTCAAAGAATCGATCAATTATAAATACGAATTAGTTTTCAAAACTGTTGCAAGTCTTCGACAACATCAATGATCTGTTCTATCTTAATTATCGTCAAATCGAGCTCGATAATTGATCTAACGATCGAATTTGTACGACTTCACCTTCAGTCTTTAACAAATACTGATATTGCCCATTATAAAAATTTAAAAGTGAGAAAAAGAACTTTGCTAAGCAGTTTTCAGAAATGAAGTGGATCATCCTCGAGTTATCGCTCTTGAAGAAAACTGTCGTTTCGATGGTCTTTCCATAATTCTACTAAAAGATCAACTCAGTTATACAGTGAACGACCTGTAATCGTAAAGAACCGAAAACCAGAAAATTCTCAATATTGACTTTTGACAAGTGCCAAAAATGTACTGTCCAAGTCACTCTAGTGAAACTCATGTAAGCCTCAACAATAAAAAAGATATCATTGATTTAGACTGAAGTAAAAGACGAATGGTGACAAAATACTTTATAAAAAAAAGATTGTATACAACCATTTATTTATGTTATTTAATTTTACTCAGTATTCTCGTGGATTTATTTTATCAAGTCAATAGTGAATTATAATTCTTTCTAGTAGAAGTGGGTGAATAGAAACAACTGTCATTTTATTTATCAATAGACGAAATCAAAATTAACCAAACTTCTTACTTTCATACATTTTATGAAATAGGTGATCCTCAATCTATTGTACATAACAAAAAATACATAATTACATGTCGTTTTCGATTGTTGATCTTCATCAGTTATTTTTCTATCATGGAACCATATATGCACCGAAAAAAAGCATTACGATTGATTGAACAGAATCAATATGTCAATGATCAGTGAACCATTTGATGCCAGATGCATCTAGTCAAAAGTAATAAGAACACTGTAGAAATCTATGAAAATATCCAATGAATATTAGACACATATGGAAATGTGCGTTCTAACACTCGATACAAATTTTATTCATTAGATCGTATCTGTTTTTAATCAGTCTAAAGATGAGTTCGATCAGTAATTGTTAACGAAAGAAAGAACAAGGCATCACGAAGCATCAATCTAGAATCATCAGCTATAGAGACACATATAATTCGGTGAAAATGACTGTGACAAAGGAAGTCACTAAAGTTGTAGATTGACTCCGATGAACATCGCACTGATTCAATCTACCAATATAAACATATTAATTACATAAGTAGCATGATTGTTTCAGGTCAGTACACCAGACATACGCAATACTTTGTCGTACGGTCTGATGGTAGCACAACGTCATAGTTACTCGTACCGATTGTTCTTCTTTCGAGTTATTGAAATATAGTTGCGAATGTCTGCATTTATCAATTCATGATATTCTATATAAGAAAGACTAGTTTGTAACTGATATGAAAGTTTAATAATTCATTTCAGTTTTCATTCTCAGTGACTGAAAAATCAATTATTTTTTCAGTTACTACCTTTTAATAAGAACTTCAATGTTTCTGAATGATCTTGATCATGCTCAATCTTATAGATACGATGAATTCAATGAAATACAACATCTTCATAACAATATGATGCATCAAGAGTAGGGATATTATTATTTTTTTTTAATTTGAAATAAATTTGATTGTTTTTTGTAATTTAAATTAAAATTATTTGTATCTTGTAATTTATTAAACTATAAATAAAATAAAATAATTCTATTTCTTAACAGTATTTCGTGTAGAAAATATATTCCATTTTTTTTTTAACATGACATTTATCTATCAATAATGTGTTATATAATATTCTCATTCAGTGAATAAATTCTAATCTTCATTTATATTATTTTATTAAATGATAAAGTGATACATCAATAAATATTTCTTTTTTGATTAACTTTTAATGCCACACAAATATTGTTATAATACTAATAACTAAAGATATACATCTGCCTACTATCTTTAGCATTATGATTTCTCTCTCCTTCTTGAACATCGAAAAAAGTAGAAGAAATAGTATTCATTTTTCAAAAAGAAAAGAATAATGTCGATTAGTGAACAGATGTATATCATTAGTTGTCATTAACCGACATACCTTATACAAAATTGACCTGCTCATAATAGACGATGAGACTATCGGTGTTGATGAAAATAATATGCTGATCAACATCCTGAAACATGAACATAAGTCTTTTTCAGTTCTCACTAGTCTTATTGATAATTACATTTCAATCGAGATCAATTGATTTAAGCTGATAACCGATGGGTTAATTCATTAAAAATCAATTAGTTAATAAAATATTTTCTATAATAATATCAGTTTCTTTAAAACAATTATGTTATGAATGTTGTTTTTTTTTTCTTATCTTCTATATTCTTTGTCATCAATAGCGTTCTCTATCAACAAAACTATATTGATTATTTTCTTGTATAATTAATACAGACACAAATGTCATGTTAACCTAACAAATAGAACATGACAGAAATCTTAGAAAAGAATTTATTTCCCATGCTATTTGAATTAGTCAAAAAAAAGAAAAGAAAAGAAAGAAAGAAATATGATTTTTGTCGAATATAAATAAATGTTAGTTATTTTCTAATCCTCAGATCAACATGCGTGGTTTGATCATTGGTGATATGTTGACATAGAATAAAAAACCAGTACATTTTCAAAATTGACAATGCTCTTCTTTAATAAAAAATATTCCAGATATAATTAACATATATATATATATTATTCATTACTATTCACTGTTATTTTAATAATAAATTATTTCTGGTATGCTTCTTTTTTATTTTTTGTTCATATATTAATTATCCAATTGACTTTTGTTTTTTTTTGAAATTAAAAATTATCTAATATAAATTCATTCAATATAAAATATGTATGAGAATTTCCTATATTGAATTCTTATTTGATCATACAAAATCTTCTTTTTATTTTTTCATTTCTATGGCACATAGCATTCTCATTTTTGACAAAACAAAAAAAAAAAAAAGATGAGGAAGAGAGAAACAATGAAGAGAAAGAACAAAAAAGAAAAAAAAGTAAACGACTGTAAATTACAAGTAAATAAAAAGAAAACAATGATTTTTGTCTTATTTTTTTTTTTCTTTCTAATTGTGCAAAAATCAAAAATTGAAGGCATCTTAGTTAAATAATTAGAACATAAACAAATTTGGCTTAGCAAAAAAAAAAAACAAAACTTCTATGTGAAATTATTGAATAGAATAGATGTTATTTAATTTTTTTTTGACTAGATCGATCTATAAAAATGAATAAATTAATTATTATTCATTATTTCTAGTCGTTTCATTCGTTAATTTTTGTTGTTGTTGTAATTGTAAATAAAATGCTTGAAATTGTTGAAACATTTCTTGTTGATTTGTTGTTGTAGGATCGAAAAATGGTGAAATAGCATAAAATGGAATAAACATTGATGATGCGGTTGCAGCTGCAGCTGCAGCAGCAGCAGCAGTAGTTATCGTAGTTGGTTTTGTTACTGTCGATGATGAAATATTATTATTTCGTTTTGATGATGATAAACTAACAGGTTGATGTCGTTTACGTTTTGAACATAAATTTAATGGTTGTTCATTTTGTTGTTTTGATATTTGAATTGTTGATGAAGTAGAAAGATCTAATGGTTTAATATCATCATTTATTAATGGAATATTTAAATTACAATGTTTAGCTGGTGGTGGTGGCGGTGGTGGTGATGCTGTTGTTGTTGTTGTTGTTGTTGTT